CCAAGCATATTTCCAACTTTATCCTACGTCACATGCTGCGTGATGACATACGGAGTGTTCAATGGAAACTTCGTTTTCTTTTGATTGGGCCAAACTTTCCCAAAGAGTGTGAGTCAAAATAGTCGATGCTCTAACGTCTGTGTTTGTAACAATTGAAAAAGCCGCTCTAAGTGCAGTTATTTCTCAATTATATGGCAAGTTACATTAGCTAGGCTGGCGCCACCTAGTGCCTCTGCTCAATGTCATTTCTCTCCAGCAACTAGGTCAGGAATCAAAATACACTAGATAGTTTGCAAAAACCCCTGAAGTGTGAGTTCAGGCACCGGCCAATTAGTGAAGAGCCAGACATTTTGTGTTGTCAACGATTCTCGAGATCGAGGATTTAAAGCCGGAACAAAGAGAATGTTTGGTGAATTGCATCAAGGGGAAAGACGTTATTGTCCTTCTTCCTATGGGATTTGGGAAAAGCTTAATATACCAGTTATCCCCATTAGTGGTGCATTACATACATCACGACCAAATAGCAGCGATTGGTTAAATGAAAAAAGTGCCCACCTACTGTCGAGCGAACAAATTCTAATGCTACGAGGTCAGACAGTTTCTACTAAGTGAAACCAGCTGATGAATCAGGCTAAAATTACACATTTTGGTTTGCATAATTGCGCATCCCTTGCTATTTTTATTTGAAAGGTTTATTTCAGTCAAAATGTCCAAATACAAATGTGATATACACTATGGAACCATCTAATGCTTAGAGTGTTGCCAGCGTTCACAACTTATACCCAACAACAATCTCACCTATGCAGAGCGCACAGCAGCATATCAGCGACGCTCACGTGTCGTCGCCTATAAAAAGGCTGCTGCTCCACGATTCATAGCTGCTCTAGACATGACAGTAGCGACATTAATCTTATTGGCACGCAGCTGGTACAGTGACAAACTGATGAGATGATGCCGATGTTGGAGGACAGCTTGTATGTATTCTCGTCTCAGCCGAATCCTCCATGATATGTGGAGCGGGTGGTACCATGGGGTGTGCTCACCATGACGTCTGGAGGAGTACTGACTGGTTCCTCCCCCTTTTTTTTATATTAAACCAATTTCCCTACACACTGCCAATACTCCATTATATAGTAGCTATAAGTTAGAAACATGTTCAGTAAGTTCTGTGGTCGTCGGAACATGTTGAATACATCTGCAGACATCAGTATGTTTTGGAGGTAAGTTTGATGTTATTGAAGTTACACATCGGTTCAGAGCACGTTACTCATAAGTTATGGGCACACTAGACATTATTATCTCAACGTATTTGGACTTATGAGTAACTTACAATTAACATGTGTGAACATGTGTCAACGACCTATTAACTTACCTACAACTTATGGCCCACGGATGCAGGACGTATAAACACACACTGGCATACGGCGATACATTTTTAGCATGCTAAAACGTTTTGATGACCTTGCCCTATGTCGACATATGCCAGTGTGTTTCAGCTTGCTCAAAACTTATACAAAACTTACATATAACTTATCTGACGTACGCCAGCGTATTTGCCAATTTTTTTCATTCATCATCAACGTGTGACAGCCCCTTTTCAGCCGTATGACACAACTACAGCAGCAGATTGTGAAACACCAGGTTGTACTGAAAAAAAGGATGTGTAACACTTCATTAGGGGGTAAAAGGGGGAGTTAAAAGCAAAATTAAGAAAACAAATCCAGGCAATGACAAATGTACAAAAATTGCTCTTTGGTCTGGAAGGGTTCAAGTGAGACCCAGACCGTTTACGCAACAAACCGTCCAGAAGAGCCCAACTTCTCTTCACTAGTGGTTTGATAATGTCCAGAATGTGATTTTGCTTCGATCGTCGTTCCTCCTGCAGCCCGGTTTGATGCAATGGAAACAAACACCATATTGTAAATGACACGTTTCTCTGTCACCACATTCACATATGCATTCATTCATATGCACATAAACATGTTAGTATAGGCTCCATATGGGGTCCGCCGCACAGACCCTCCTGCCCACTCACAGTCACTCACAGTCACTCACACTCACTCACAGTCACTCACACCTTTTATCAGAAACTCCTGCTGCTTTGTTCTGGCCCGCCCACATAAACACTCACATTTTATACGCTATTTACTATCTGCCACGTGTTCATTTAGTGTGATAATGTCCTGTCAATCAAACTAGGTCAAGCCAGCGATACCTTGCAGCTGATGTTATGTGTGAGACTAACTGTAGGCACTGCTCTGTCTGAAGCTCTACTGATCACAGGTTTTTGAAAATGTGTTTAAAGCATTTTCAAATATGTCATAATGTGGTTTCGTCATCGCAAACAGACCTGGAGTTGTGTTTTGGTTCATTCATTCACACATGTTTAACTCACAAACCCTACAGATTTAAACCTTCTCTCAAACTGAAAAAAATCTGTTCCACCTTGTGATGTCACGTGGTAATACAGGAAGTGCTCCACTGTGTTTTTAAACTCCACACACTTTTACTAGTCATTTGGATGATTTCGACACTGGAATTTATGCAACAAAAGGTAAAACGTATTGTAGGTAACTTGAAAACTACCACTACATGACGTCACAAGGTAGAACAGAGCATTTTGAGTTTTGGAGATGTAGGCAAGGCAAGGCAAGTTTATTTGTATAGCACAATTCGTACACAAAGTAATTCAAAGTGCTTTACAGAATAAGAAATACATTAAAATCATAATAAAAACAAATCAAAGCATAAATAATCATGAAGATTAAAATTTTTAAAAAGAGAGACATAAATTGGAGAGAAGAGTGCGGAATGAAAACCTTTCAGTTATTTGCACAGTTAAACAGAAATGTTTTGAGAGTCTGGATTTAAACAGCGTCACAGAAGAGTCTGTCTCACATGTTCAGACTGTTCCAGGTTTTAGCTGCATGAACCTGAAACTCTGACTCCCCTTGTTTAGTCGTGACTCTGGGCACCAGCAGGAGGCCGGTCCCTGAGCTCCTCAGAGTGTGAGATGGTTCATATGACACTAACATGTCACAGATGGACTTTGGTGCTCGGCCATGGAGACACTTGTACACAAGCAGAGCTGCTTTAAAGTCTATTCTCTGAGGCACAGGAGCCAGTGCAGAGACCTGAGCACAGGACTTATGTGCTCGTACTTCCTAGTTCGAGTAAGGACTCGAGCTGCAATGTTCTGGATGTTCTGGATGTTCTGGATGTTCTGCAGAGTCTCACAGCTCGTTTGGAGAGACCAGTGAGCAGAACATTACAGTATCTAACCTACTGGAGACAAACGCATGGATAAGTTTCTCCAAGTCTGATTTAGACAGTAAACCTTTGATTTTTGCTCTGTTTTTTAGATGGTAAAAGTCTGCAGATGTTATTGATTTGATGTGGCTGTTAAAGTTCAAGTCTGAGTCCATTATTAGCCCTAGATTTCTTGCCTGATTTGAAGGTTTTAGAGAGAGAGACTGGAGGTCTCTCTGGAGGTAGACAGACTAATCTGCCCTACAAACACAAAAGACCTTAACTTGCCAGAGTGTGAAACTGAGCAAAAATGACTTCAAAGCTTAATTTTTGTCCAGACAAAATTATAATAGGCAGGGCTGCCAAAATTTGACAACTAGTTGCTATAATGAAGAAATATTTGTAGGTGAAAAATATTGAGCTGAAAATTGACCCTTATTTGGCAGATACAGTGCTCTGCCTTTGTATCATGAGCCAATGATCATTATTTACTTGATTTTCACCAGACTTCCATCCCACCAAACTCTAGTCATCATGGAGTTTGTTTGAAATGACATAGAAGAGTTTTGGATTTCCTGTTTAGTGCTGATCAGGATCTCACTGCAACACTTACACATAGGGGTGTGCAAAAATATTGAAATATCGATATATCATATCGCTTAATGTGATGATACAGTATCGATATTGTGGGCTGCTGTATCGATATATCACCAAGAGTACTTTTTGGTATATTTTACTAAATTATTTTGTTACAGAGCTACAGTTTTGTTGCTTGTTTAGAGGAAGGAAACTTTTTTATGCGACACATTTCACATTTTCACTGTTTTGATGAATAAAATGTTTGTGTTTCATATGAACTTTGCACAAAAATTGGTTTAACAAAGACTTTTAGTATCACAGACATGATTTAGTCTTTATTTTTATTGAACTGTATTGAATCAATTTGAAATATATCATATTTAATCGAAAGCTCACTGTATCGAGATATGTATCGTATCGTGGCCTGTGTATCGAGGTATGTATTGTATCAGCAACTTCATAATGATACCCAGCCCTACTTACACAGTTAAACCATTTGACAGACTTTGCAGTATATTATTTACAGTATGAATAAATACACAAAATACTTTCACATATACATCTCATGGTATGATATTTATTGTGATATTTTGTGGATATGCTACTTTTTCCTCTTAAAATGCCTTGACAAGACTTAAAAGTGCTTAGAACTGTTATTTCTACATGTATGCACTGTAACGGAGCAAAGGATCATGGTCTATGTAGTTCCTTCTGTTTTTTTAGCTATTGCTGCACCGTAACTGTCAATTTAAGCAGAGAAATTTGTAATTCGATATATTGTGATGGCCCACGATATTATTAAGAGACTTTTGACGATATGATATTACGATATTTCTGTTATTGTCGCAACAAAAGGAGGCGAGAGGTTGGATTTGAAAATAAAATATGTTTATGAACTGAATCACAAACAGAACAAACACCGTTACTGTCTTTTGTCTTTGCACGACTCCTTATTTTTGGCTCATGAAAAAGCTCACAAGAGTTCATTTAGTTTTCGAACTTAACTTTTTTGACAGGCTTTACTAACATATGCTTTGTGTCACCATGGCAACACATCTAGGGCACACTCAGCACGATGAACCTGCTGGGGATTTTACAATATTGTGATGCCGCACGAACCCAGCCCATGTTCTCCTCTCTAAATGTCTTCTCCTCTTTCTCTCTTTCTCCAGGAGCAGAAGGACCAGAGCTACTCCACCGTGAAAACCGCCGCCACCCGAATCAGCGTCAACAACCTCAAACCCGGGACCACCTACGTGTTTCTGATCAGACCCTTCTCCAGCGCGGCGCCCCCTTCTGGCCTGGCCCCGCTCTCCTCCTCCTCCTCCGCATCCTCCGCGTCCTCTGCATCCTCTTCTTCCTCCTCGGCGTCGTCTTCTGCCTCCACCTCCTCGGCTCCTCCCATCGACTACGGAGCCTACAGCGCCCCCCTGGAACTGCAGACGCTCGGGGAATGTGAGTACAGAAAAGAAACTCCAATCAGACAATAGTTAGGGTCAAAATCACTAAAGTTCCATAGACTTTATTTAAACATTAGATTTAAACTGTGTATTTTTTTTATTCTCCATTTGTTATTTTGTGTAAATTTTACAATTGTTATACCACTTCACATTTTAAAGTTGGGCTAAACTCCGCCCACAACTATATTTCAAACTAGAAAAACACTCAGAGAGCGCAGACCTCCGCCAAGGACTACCCCCATTTTTTATATAAATTGCGATACAATCAGTCTTCTGGATCAGAATATGAAAGAGGATCCCATTGTCCATCCCTGAGTCAAATTTCATGGGGTTTGGTCAATAATTAACCGAGATATTGAGAAACTAAATTTTTGGCCCCATTTACCACAATGTTAACTAAAATTTCAAAGTGATCCAGAATTAGGATTTCTTCCGGATCAGCCCCAAAATGAAATCAGTTCTTCCTTTTCACATTTCCAACAAATCCTGAAAATTTCATCAAACAAACAAACAGACAAACGCCGGCAAAAACATAACCTCCTTGGCGGAGGTAATAAAGCTGCTAAACTGAGCAGAACCTGGAGGACTAAAGGGGAGAGTTAGGGAGGAGGAGGGATGGCGTCTGGAGGACTAAAGGGGAGAGTAAGGAGGGGCAGGGTCTGGAGGACAAAAGGGGAGAGTGAAGGAAGAGGGGGCAGGGTCAGGGGGACTAAAGGGGAGAGTGACAAGGGGTAGGGGACTAAAGGAGAGAGTGAGGGAGGAGGGATAGCGTTTGGAGGACTAAAGGGGAGAGTGAGGAAGGACAGTGTCTGGAGGACTAAAGGGGAGAGTGAGGAGGGGCAGGGTCTGGGGGACTAAAGGAGAGAGTGAGGTAGGACAAGGGGTGGGGCCTGAGGGACTAAAAGGGAGAGTGAATGTTACGACCCAGCTCGGTGGTGTCAGGGAAGTAACAAAAAAAAATCCAAGGTGGAGAGTGGAATAAATTAAGTAATTAGGTAATTAACAAGAATGTAAAAGGATAACTCAAGAATACAGCCAAATAACCCAAACTAAGAAACAAAACTACAGCATTAACATACAATGAGTTTTGTGTCAAAAACAGGTCACGCAGGTCTATACAAAAACGAGTGATTAAACTGAGGGACACACAACAAAACTAAATAATTAGTGCCCCAAAGTAAAACCACATAAAGCCACAAACTGAATCGAGTGAGAAAATAAAAAAGGCACAAAACAAAAAAAACTAAACAAGTGTCTCATTAAAACAAACAAAGTCAGACACATACTAGAAAAAAAAACAAGTGACTGACACTAAAGAGACACACACAAACACAAAATGGCAGCAGCCCCGAACAGGTGATGCCAGTCTCCTTAAACAGGAGGCGGTGGCTGCAGGTGAGGTGGGCGTAGACAAGCCCCACCAATCACACACCAGGGCTCCCACAGCAGGAATCAGGACAGGAATCAGGACAGCTCCGCAAAAGAAATGAAAACACAAAACAAGTCAGAACTGGAGGTTTAGGGCCGTAACAGTGAGGATGGAGTAGGGGCGGGGTCTGGAGGTGTAAAGGGGAGAGTGAGGGGGAAGTAGGGGCGGGGTCTGGAGGTGTAAAGGGGGAGAGTGAGGGGGAAGTAGGGGCGGGGTCTGGAGGTGTAAAGGGGAGAGTGAGGGGGAAGTAGGGGCGGGGTCTGGAGGTGTAAAGGGAAGAGTGAGGGGGAAGTAGGGCGGGGTCTGGAGGTGTAATGGGGAGAGTGAGGGGGAAGTAGGGGCGGGGTCTGGAGGTGTAAAGGGAAGAGTGAGGGGGAAGTAGGGGCGGGGTCTGGAGGTGTAAAGGGGAGAGTGAGGGGGAAGTAGGGGCGGGGTCCAGAGAAACAAACAACAGTGTGATTGGTCTAACAGGTATCCACACTTCAAACTCTGCCTCTGTAAACAGGGCAGTCTTATGTGATGTCACGTAGTACTTGAACTTGTCAAGGCCATTGGAGGCAGCACACACTAATGTTTGGCTGATTTTGAACACAAAGCTGCAAATTGACTTAAGGAGAATTTACCAGATTTTGGCTGCAATTTGACTCGATGACTCGATGATTTGACTTGATGACTCGACTTTGTATATTCATGTGCGCTTCTGAAGCCGTTGAACTCCTCGTGTGTGTGTGTGTGTGTGTATGCGTGCATGCGGTGTCAGTGTGACTCTGAGCTGCTCTGTCAGATCAGATCCACCAAACAGTGATGGACACAGAGGCGTAAGATACAAACTCAGGAAATAGCGAAAATAATTATTACTCACGTCTTGTAAAGTTGTACATTTAAATCTCATCCATATTGTCTATAGAATTTGGCCTCTGCAAATAATGACACCAAGTCCACAAAACCACACTGTTAATCCAGTTTGAGGCGTTCTTTGAAAGTAAAAAGGTGAGAGTAGTTCCTCACGCGTGTCTGTTTACATCCACACAGCACGTGGATCGCGGTGAAGCTGCAGATTAGTGAAGGTGACTCTACTTCCTGTGAACTTTACCTTCAGCATCCTGTGCATAAAAATCATGTACCTGAAGTTTTACACCACATTTCACAAATAATAATAACACAGTTTTGACTTGTATTTAAACTAGTGTACAAGTGCAGAGCTCTGATCTTTGAACACTTAAGAATCTCAAAGTGAGTGGTTTTACTGTAGATGAGAAACAGGTGACGCGATCACACTCAATGCAGTCTTCGTGATCGGAGATTTAGAATCTTACACAATTCTCCTCGTGTCTGTGGTGTGTGCTTTTTGTTGCACATTTAAAAATCGTTTAAAATCCTGTAGTGTGTGGCAGCCTTTAGTTTGTCCTAAAATAGAAACAGTAGATATCTTGTATTTATTCCAGTGCTCAAAAATATTCTGATACATGCTTTCTTACAGAGAGTTGGCTTGCCCCTCCACAGACCTCACCTATTATGTAGTGGCGTCACCTACTTTTATCCATGGAGAAAAAGAAGTTTAGAATGTATTAGTGAAACTGTTAATTCCACATAATCTCCTCTAATTGCGTTGGTGCCCGTCACAGATGGAATATAAGCACAGTAATGTATGTGACAGATGCAGCGTTTGGAACAAATGACACTGTCTGTAAATCTAATGTGTGTAATATAAGAAACAAATCAGTGTTTAATTGGCTTTAAACTATTCATCAACGTTAACAAGTATTATGACACATTTCTAGAGGAGTTATATCAGGGAAACAGTTCTGCTGAAGGAGATTAAAAAGGATCCGATGTAATTTTCCTTTCAGTCTAAATGTACTGCTAAGACTTTTTAATAACCACATTTTAAATAGCCTTAAAGCAGACTTATTCAGCAAAATGGAGTTAGTTTCCTTCTCCTTTACCCTCTTTTTGTTGTACATCAGGGGTCTCCAACCTTTTTCCTTTGGTCAAAAGTTTTAGAACATCTCCCTTTTTCCATTTTTTTTCCTGTTTACTGTTGACTAAAACATATTCAAAACTTTTGATTGATGAAAGTGTTCACCTTTGGCAGATAGAACAGCTGGACACACTCGTGGCTCGTTCTTTTTACAACAGAAATCAAATATTGTTTAGAAAGTTCTTCCCAAGTCTGTTGTAGAAGTTCCATAAATGTGTGGCATTTGTAGGTTGCTTCACTCTTCTGTTCAGTTCATCCCAAACCAGCTCCATGGGCTTTAAGTCTGGACACTGTGCTGGACACTTGTTCTTTTTTCCTGAGGTCGTTTTGGCAGAGCTTGGACTTGTGTTTTGATTTTCAGTGAAAATAAAGGGCGTAGAGTTTGTGGGGCTAGACAGATTTGAGTTTGAGTCTTGAGCAGTTCAAGTCTGTGCATTCACCTGGATTCCTGTAGGCGTATAAGCCCAGCCTTGAGCTCATCATACGAGTGAGTTCAAGTCTATGCCGAATGCAGTGGTTTTTGCTGCGTTCACCTGCCTATGAGGGTCCATGAACAGGTGGATCCTTGTAGGCGTATAAGCCCAGCCTTGAGCTCTGAAGCTAGGGACATGAAGACATGTCCCATTAATCAGCAAGTGCACTCATTTTTTTAGAGCACTTGTAACTTCAAGACTTTTTTAGAAGTAAACCAGAACTAAACCAGAACTAAACACATAATAAAAGACCCAACTTGGACTATATCTGAACTCAAGCAGAACTTAATCAGGGTTTAGGATCTAAACCAAGACTTGTCAAGAACTAAACCAGGATTAAACCAACACATAATGACCCAAGTTAAACATTATCAGAACTCAAGCAGAACAGGACTCAGGATCTAAACCAAGACATGTCTAGAACTACGCCAGGATTAAATATGACATAACCCAAAACTAAACCAAGCCTAAATTTGGACTATATCGGGACTAAATCAGATCTAAACCAAGACTAAACCATGTCAGTCTTCTCTGCAGTCCAGCTCTAACATAATCTGATTGAATTAGAGTAGCACAAAGGAAGCCTGTGTCTCTGTCGCCTTCATAAGAATGTGCTTCCTGTTCACACTTGACTCCCACACACTTTACACGTGTCATTTTAGTGCAGAAGAGCGCCCCCTGCTGTTCTTCACTCCTCCCACAGAGCGGCTCATACAGGCCAGCGGGGGGCCGCGAGGAGAGGGAGGGCCGCTCCATCGCCTACTGCAAAATAAAATCATATCTTGTCCAGTCAAAATGTGTGTTCTTCTGTGCACTGGTTCAGAACTGTAGTTTTAAACGCATCTATCTCCATGGAGACAATCACGCGACGCCACCTGTCCAAGTTACAGGTCAGATCTGTGGAGAAGCACGCACACTCACAATCAGAATGCATGTCCTGGTTAGGCCTGGAACAATAACAAATTTTGCTGGACGATTAATTGACCAAGAATTTATTGCGATAAATGATAATATTGACATTTTGAGACAAATTTCAACTAATATAATGACTATGGAATAAAAATGCAAATACATCCTCTCAATGATCAATAAACTTGACTTTCTAAATTTAACAACATTTAACACAGGAAGTGTAAGACAAACAAAAACAACAGGCCTAAATAAAACAGACTTAACATAGGACTAGTCTAATGTGTCTGGCTCACAGCGAGGACTTGTTCACAAAAATGTACTTGAATAAACCACTGTTGAACCAAATCCAACCAAAGCAGTAAATCAAATGGATTATTAAGTCTCTGTAACAAAACTGTCCTTAAAATTTGTTTTAGTCACTGACTTACATTGGAATATTGTGTCTCTCTCTGTGGCTGCTGCTCGGCATTTTGGTCATTTAAATGTTCGTATGAACCTGCAACACAGGATCCTGTTTCTCTATGAGGGAGCCTCTGTTCTGTCTGGTGTCGTGTCGGTTTCTTGTGGGGTTTTGGGATTTCAGGTTCTCCTGGGTGCTAGGCTAGTTCTGTCGCTCAGGTTTGGGTTTATCGGCTGTTGGGGTTTGGGACATTTCTTCTTGTTGTTTTCGCGCTCGCTGCATTTAACGCACGTGGTTGTTGAGACGTGTCCTGCTCACCAGTGTTGATTTGGCATCGTGACTTGTTTTTTTTTTTGCACTCGGCGATGAACTGTTTTGTCACTCAGCGGGGCTAGCTTGTGTTGCTAGCGCACCGCACAGACAGCGGAGTGCAGAAAGCACTCAGACTACATGCGCATCCGCTTTTTTGATAAACACAGCGCACGATGGTTCAAGTGTCATTACACTTGTTCAATGAGAGAAGCGAAGAGAGCGACAGAAGCTTCTAACATTCAGTCTCTTTGAGAGCGAGAGAGAGAGAGAGAGAACGAGAGAGAGAGAGAGAGAGAGAGAGAGAGAGAGAGAGCGAGAGAGCGAGAGAGAGAGAGAGAGAGAGAGAGAGAGAGAGAGAGAGAGAGCGAGAGAGAGCGAGAGAGAGCGAGAGAGAGAGAGAGAGAGAGAGAGAGAGAGAGAGAGAGAGAGAGAGAGCGAGAGAGAGCGAGAGAGAGAGAGCGAGAGAGAGAGCGAGAGAGAGAGAGAGAGAGAGAGAGAGAGAGAGAGAGAGAGAGAGAGAGAGAGAGAGCGAGAGAGAGAGAGAGAGAGAGAGAGAGAGAGAGAGAGAGAGCGAGAGAGAGCGAGAGAGAGCGAGAGAGAGAGCGAGAGAGAGCGAGAGAGAGAGCGAGAGAGCGAGCGAGAGAGAGAGAGAGAGAGCGAGAGAGAGAGAGAGCGAGAGAGAGCGAGAGAGAGCGAGAGAGAACGAGAGAGAGCGAGAGAGAGCGAGAGAGAGCGAGAGAGAGCGAGAGAGAGAGAGAGAGAGAGCGAGAGAGAGCGAGAGAGAGAGAGAGAGAGCGAGAGAGAGAGAGAGAGAGAGAGCGAGAGAGAGAGAGAGAGCGAGAGAGAGAGAGAGAGAGAGAGAGAGAGAGAGAGCGAGAGAGAGAGAGAGAGAGAGAGAGCGAAGAAAACAAACAAGCTGCAAATAGAATTTATCGTGGCTGGAAAAGTTATCGAGCTCGTTAAAAGTTATCGTTACAGGCCTAGTCCTGGTGTTTTTATTTTGCTATTTTGTCAGTAAATGAAGATATGAACTTTAATAACAGACAAATCAGGTGTCTTTTAGAGTGTGGATCAAGCAGATTTTTTCAGTCTGAGCCCGGCGCTCGTCTGACAGAGCAGTGATCGAATCCTAACCGAGCCCGATAGACATTAAGATACTGGTGTCCGTGTCCGACCGAACCGACACAATTAAAATCACTCTATTTTTATAGGCCTACTAATGCCACACATAGTGTATTGTTTGTGTGACCTCTAATGGAGGAACTGGGACACAGCTAGAAACACAAAATACAAATTCAGGATATAACGTAAATAATAAGACTTTATTCTTCACCTCTCGTAAAGTGGTAAATTTGAAGCATAGCATTTCATCCACATTATCCATAGAAATGTTTCTCCGCAAATAATAACATCCAATCCACAAAACAACACTGTTAATCCCGTTTGAGGTGTTGTGTAAAAGTAATAAGGCGAGTAGTTTACATCCACACAGCGCACGGATCGAGCTGAAGCTGCAGATTAGTGACAGTGACTCTCTGTGGACAATGTTTTATGTTTTAAAAATCATGTATCTGAAGTTTTGCACCACATTTCACAAATAATAATAACACAGTTTTGACTTGTATCTAAACTAGAAGTGCAGAGCTCTGATCTTTTGAACACTTAAGAGTCTCAAAGCGAGTGGATTTACTGTAGATGACACGATCGCGCTCACAACTTTATATCCTATTGTCTGCAAACATATCCCACTGCAGTCTTTGAGATCAGAGATTTGAAGTCTCATAAGATTCTCTTCGTGTCTGTGGTGTGCGCTTTTTGTCGCACATTTAAAATAGTTTAAGACCAAAAAATCTTGCAGTGTGCGGCGGCCTTAAACTGTTTTTAATTTTATTGTGCTGATCTGTCTGAGTTTGGGCTGAGCCTAAACATAAGTTCTAAATATTTGTCTGAGTCCGACCAAGCCCATCAGGTTCTAATCCCATCGGACTTTGGTTGGCTTTCTATGCTCTAGTGCAGGAGTGTCCAACCAGTAGCTCTCCACCCCTTTCAAGTAGCTCACCAAGGAGTTTTGAATTCTGTGTATTGTGCACAATAAGTAAAATTGTATTAATTGTAAATGTGTCATTTTGAGGTCTAACTTGGTTTTGTTTTATAAGCATCAAGCTGTTCCCCATCTCTGGCTCTTATATTTACTCCGTTTCTTTGCGACTGCTGAAAATGTTAGCTTTCTGAGTCCTTTTTGTTTTGTTAATGTAGCTCACTGGAGAAAAACATTTGGAGACAACTGCTCTAGTGCCTTTCCCTGAGGTTGTTCCCGCTAGTGTTAGCAGCAGGTTTGATTGACAGCGCTGCTAAGTGCTTACTCGAGAGAAGGGGCGTTACCTTCAACAGTCTCGCTCCGGATCGGCCTTTCGTATCAAACATTACAGTCGTATATGTATTTGTTTGGTTTTCTAGTGGCGCTGATGTTCCTTCATCCCTGCTCGCGGTTTTAATCGTGACCGTGTGTGTTTGTTTCAGTGGCGTTGGCGTCGAGCGAGCAGAACCCGGTGCTGATCATCGTGGTGATCTCTGTGGCGGCTCTCATCATGCTGCTGTCCATGGGAGTGGGTCTGCTCATCTGGAGGAGGTAAAGACACATGACACTTTTCATACACGAAATATACAATAAGTACTGGACGACTTTAAAAAAATACTTCATTTCACTAAACATTACACATTACAAAGTGTCTCTCCCTCTCTTCTCTCTCTTTTCTCTCTGTCCACCCACTCTGTCTCTCTCTCTCTCTCTGTCTATCTCCCTCTCTTCTCTCTCTCTTTCTTTCTTCTCTCCCTTTCCTCTTTACTCCTCTCCACTTTCTCACTTTCTCTATCTCCTTTCTTTCACCCCCTCTCACTTCATCTCTCTCTCTCACACACTCTCTCTCACTCCTACCTCTTAGTCTCTCTCTCACCCCCTCACTCTTTCTATCTGTCTCTCTCTCTTTCCCCCTCTCTCTCGATCTCACTCTCATTCTCTCTCCCCCTGCTTCTCACACTCCATCACTCTCTCCCTCTCTCTCCTTCTCCCTCCCTCTGTCTCTCACACTCCCCCCCCACTGTTTCTAATGCTCCATCTCTTTCCCTCTCTCTGTCTTCCTCTCTTTCCATCATTTACTGCCGCTCTCTCCACCTCGCTCTTTCTTTCTCCTTCCCTCTCTCTCCCTCTGCCTCCTCCTCTGCTTTTCATTCTCCATCACACTCTCTCCTCCCCCTCTCCCTGTCCCACCCTCCAGCCCTTTTTCCGTCCCTTTCTCTCTCTATCCATGCCTCCTCTGCCTCCTCTCTCCCCGTCTGCTTCTCACGTTCCAACTTTCTCTCTCTGTCTCCCTCCCTCTTTTTTGTCTCCCTCTGCCTGTCACTCTCTTTCCCCCTCTGCTTCTCATGCTCCACATCTCTCTCTCTCCCTCTCTCACTGTCCCTCCTCTCCTCCTCCTCCTACTCTCTCTTTCTCCTCTGCTTCTCACGCTCCATCTCTCTCTCTCCTCTGTCTCTCTTCCTCTTCCTCTCTCCATCCCATCCTCTGTCCCTCTGTCTCTTTCTCTCTCCCTCTGCTTCTCAAGCACCATCTGTCTCACTCTCCCTGTCCCTCTTCTCCTCCTTCCCTCCCTGTCTTCTCCACCCTCTCTCCTCTCCTCTGTGTCTTCTGTCGCTTTCTGTCCGTGTCTTCTGTGTTTGGTCGGGGTTCAGTCTGTAGTCGTATGAGCCGGAGCTTTGACTGTGTCTGCTGGAGACTTGATGTAAATGTGAGTTGGCAGAAAAACTGCACAGAGCTGGAACGAGTGAGAGACACCCAAGAACGAGTGAGAAACCTCCAAGAACGAGTGAGAAACCTCCAAGAAAGAGTGAGAAACACCCAAGAACGAGTGAGAAACACCCAAGAACGAGTGAGAAACCTCCAAGAACGAGTGAGAAACCTCCAAGAACGAGTGAGAAACACCCGAGAACGAGTGAGAAACCTCCAAGAAAGAGTGAGAAACACCCAAGAACGAGTGAGAAGACACCCCAAGAACGAGTGAGAAACCTCCAAGAAAGAGTGAGAAACACCCAAGAACAAGTGAGAGACACCCAAGAATGAGTGAGAGACACCCAAGAACGAGTGAGAAACCTCCAAGAACGAGTGAGAAACCTCCAAGAAAGAGTGAGAAACCTCCAAGAACGAGTGAGAAACCTCCAAGAACAAGTGAGAAACCTCCAAGAAAGAGTGAGAAACACCCAAGAACGAGTGAGAAACACCCGAGAAGGAGTGAGAAACCTCCAAGAACGAGTGAGAGACACCCAAGAACGAGTGAGAAACCTCCAAGAACGAGTGAGAGACGCCCAAGAACGAGTGAGAACCCAAGAACGAGTGAGAAACGCCCAAGAAAAGTGAGAACGCCCAAGAACAAGTGAGAAACACCCAAGAACGAGTGAGAAACACCCAAGAACGAGTGAGAAACACCCAAGAACGAGTGAGAAACGCCCAAGAACGAGTGAGAGACACCCAAGAACGAGTGAGAAACCTCCAAGAACGAGTGAGAAACACCCCGAGAACGAGTGAGAAACGCCCAAGAACGAGTGAGAGACACCCAAGAACGAGTGAGAACACCCAATGAGTGAGAGACGCCCCAAGAAAACGAGTGTGAGAAACACCCAAGAACAAGAACGCCCAAGAACGAGTGAGAAACACCCAAGAATGAGTGAGAACACCCGAGAACGAGTGAGAAACACCCAAGAACGAGTGAGAGAACACCCAGAATGAGTGAGAAACACCCGAGAACGAGTGAGAAACGAAAACGAGTGAGAACACGAGTGAGAAGACACCCAAGAACGAAACGAGTGAGAAACACCCAAGAACGAGTGAGAAACACCCAAGAACGAGTGAGAAACACCCAAGAACGAGTGAGAAACACCCGAGAACGAGTGAGAGACGCCCAAGAACGAGTGTGAGAAACCCCGAGAAGAGTGAGAACGAGAACGAGTGAGAAACACCCAAGAACGAGAGAACGAAGAAACACCGAGAAGAGTGAGAGACGCCCAAGAACGAGAGTGAGAAAACACCCGAGAACGAGTGAGAAACACCCAAGAACGAGTGAGAGACGCCCAAGATCATCATCACAGTCTGATTCTGCACAACAATGAAGAAGGACACACTTTTAACACTCAAGAACAAAAGAGAGGAGAGGGGGAGGATGAGGGAGGAGAGATGTGAGGAGAGGAGAGGAGGAAGAGATGTAGAGAGGAGAGGGGGAGGATGTTCCAAGGTCATGTAAAGGTTGAGTTGACGTCTTAAACACACATATGTAAATCTACACACCTCCCCCTTCCTCTCATCTCTCCTTCTCATCTCTTCTCTCTCTCTCATTCTCTCTCTTTCTTGCCATTTTTCTTCTCTTTCTCTCATCCTATCTCTCTTTCTTCCCCTCTCTTCCCTCTCATCCTCTCGCTATCTCCCTTTCTTCCCATCTCTTTTCTCTTCTCTCTCTCTCTCTTCTCTCATCCTCTCTCTGCCTCCCCCCCCTCTCTCTTACCCTCTCTCTGTCTTTCTTCCCTTCTCTCTTCTCTCTCTCTCTCTTTCACCCTCTCTCTGCCTTTCTTCGCCTCTCTTCTCTCTCTCTCTCTGTTTTTCTTCCCCTTTCTTCTTTCTCTCTCCCAGTCTCCGTGTTGCTCTCACCCTCCAGCTCATCCTCTCTCTGTCTTTCTTCCTCTCTTTTCTCTCTTCTTTCTCTCTTATGCTCTTTGTCTTTCTTCCCCTCTCTTATCTCTCTCTGTCACCCTCTCTCTGCCGTCTTCCCTCTCTCACCTTCTCTATCTTTCGCCCTTCCTTTTCTCTCTCTCTCATTCTCACCCTCTCTCTCATTTATCCTCTTTTTCTCAGCTCTCTCTCTCTCACCTGTCTCTGTCATTTACACCCTCCTCTCTCTTCCTCCTTTTGTCTCCCTCCCTCCCCCTCTCTCTCCTAACACCCTTCTCATCCCTCTCTCTCTCATCCCTCTCTCGTCTCGTGTGTGTGCTTCATTAGTGTCGTGTTTTGCATAAAGACACAGTTTGACGGTTGATGTCTAAATTACCTTCTTCTCCTGTTTGTACAGACTAAAACAGCTCCTGCACTTATACTCACCACTCTCTCTCTTTCTTTCTTTCTCTCTCTGTATCTCTCTCTCTCCTTCCTTTCCCTTATTCCCTTCTCTCTTTCTCTCTCTGAGTCTCTCGCCTTCCCCTTTTCCCTTTTTTCCCTCCTCTGTTACTCTCTATCTGTCTCTCTCTCACCTTCTCCTTTCCCTTTTGCCTTCCCCTCTCTCTCTCTGTCTCTTTTCTCTCTCTCTTCTTCTCTCCTTCTCTCTTTCTCTTCATGTATATTGTGTGTAGTAGTAGTAGTAGTAGTAGTAGTAGTAGTATTCAGATGTAAATGAGTCTTGTCCAGGTGCATGAACAGTCATATCTGTAACACAGGAACATTTCCACGTTCACATTTGTCACCGTGTCAAATCTCTCGTTCTTACTCTCACACTCTGTCCTTCACGTACGCTCACATACGTTCACAATACACTGAAGACTATAAAGCACTATAGTATAGTTTCATTGTTGACAGAAGCGCGCGTTGCATGCTGGGAATTATTTTGGTCGGCGGCAAGAAACATTAATTCAACATGACGGACGGAGAGAGAAAGCACGTAAAGGGTATTGATCCACTCTAATGGCAGAGGACCCAAGACCATTTGACCAGACATTGGTCATAAATATCGACGGACGCCAAATCACCCTTTTCAACCCCGACAAAACCTGGACCAAACCAAATTTCTGGTCGGAATCACCAACTACCTGGACAAATATTCACTTTGGCGATATCCACAATGACTTGGTGGAAACTCCTGGGCCATTCACAGCAGAAAAGATGAAAATCTCCAAGAGTCTCGATTAGGGATGGGCATTCGATGAAATTTTCTTAAACGATCGTCGAGAGAATTAATGATCTATTATCGATTAATCATTAAAGGTTGTATAGAGGATTTTCCAAGGAACGAGAAATCCAGCGACTGTTTGTCCTTTTTCAAATGTTGCGCATGCGTGAAACCACCCCCCCTCCCCTACAGCTCCTACGTAGAAACGCCTCCTCCCTCCTCCTCCTTACGCCAGAAACAGGTTTGTTTACAGCCGGTGCGCTGCACATGACTTGTAAACAACTAACTACAGTGTTGGTTAGGCAAGACGGAGAAGTGAGGAGCGGGGGGAGCGGTGCGCGGACATTTCGTGCGCGGACGAGAAGTGAGGAGCAGGGAGAAGAGCAGAGCAGGGAGCAGGAGAGAGGAGAGAGGAGAGAGGAGAGGAGCGGGTGCGCGGAGATTCCGTGCCCGGAGAAGTGAGGAGCAGGGGGAAGAGCGGGATCGGGCAGGGGAGAGGAGCAGGAAAGGGGTGCAGAGAGAAGTGCGCGGAGATTCAGTGCGAATGAACTAGCTACAACACGCAGCAGCAAGCGGACTCTTTCTTTGCCTTGAAAATTACGTTTTCAGACATAGGATATCGCTTTCGTGTCCTGAAAAATGTTTGTCTAGCTCTTGGAAATAAAGTACGTTTTCATAATAAGCAGAAGTTTCCTGTCCAGGAGTAATT